TGGCGGAATGCGTGACTGATGGGACCAAAGTAAATTTGATTTCACGCCTCTCCTTTACTCTCCATCCCAATCCACTTGACTTAAATCTAATTTTCACGATTTGACTGCTTAAGCGGTTGCTTTCAGTTCTTTGTGAAAATTTATTAACTGGTAAATAGATTACACTCCATTGATGTCACTTCTACATTGCACCTGTTTGGAAGTACCTCCCTGAAGCAGCACACAATGCATTAGATCGAAAGGCGCCCTCACCTCCAAGCATGTTGATGACAGCAGTCCACTAAGACTCCTTCAACCGTCTAGCTCAATTCCCATGTAACTGCGTTCATTCTGGTGGCAAATTTTCCACCCAGACCCCATGTGGAAGTCACACACCAAGGTCACAATAACCTAGGTAGTTGATCTGTCCGTGGTTTGATTGATGCACTTCTAGCCACCGTCCACCCACGTACACTGTTTTGGCTAGGATGAGAAGAAGAGATAGAGGTGGGGGTGGGGAGGGAATGGAAAAGTAGGCGTGAAATGTCCATTATCTCGTGACAGCGCATTTGGCCACATGAGGAGGGCAGAGAACAATCAGATTTTGCGATGTGGCAGACTACACTCCACTGTAGGCATGTAGAACGCGGCAGAAGTAGTGACTCAGGAATGTATATGAGATCACGGGAGAGGTGAGATTGGCGAGTGGAGGAAGGGAGGGGAGGCATTTCATTAACGTTTTTATTACTTCTGCGAGTATGCATTTACACTGGCAGTTTAGCTCCTTTAGATGCCTTCGCAATGCTACTCTCCACTGAATTACCAAGGTGCGTTAATCGGGTAACATCAACCCTTGTCGGCTGTCAAATACACTCACCTGACTGCCATTTACTTCGTGATTCAGTTAAGAGTCATTCGCTTTTGAAGGGTAGGGGAGAAGTAGTATTTTTCTGCTAGAAGTTACCAAATCGTTCTTGCCTCTCCAACGGCTTACTCACTAAGTTTGAAGACTTTTGCCTCCACACTTCCCCTTTGCTGCATTATGACGTGTTTCCACAACAATCCACTCTCACAACTTACATAAACTTGGAGAAGGAGATGGAGGAGGAATGAAAGGTAAAGGAGGAATTGAAAGCTGCATTACCAAGAAGGAGAGCATTCAGTCAGATTAGGAGGGGGAAGTGGAATCAGATAGTGAGATGGGAAATCAGTACTTATTACGCAATTCTACAA